TATGAATTCCTTTTGTTTAGACAAATCCAGGTTAGTTCAGGCCTTACTTATTTGTCACATATTTGTCAAAGATATGAGAACATGATACAAATTATAAATGTTATTTAGTGTTGTGAAAATCAACTTTACAAATCAGCCGTAGCTTTAACAAATCTCCAACACAAATAAAAAAAAAGTGAGTGCAAGTTTTTTTTTTTTTTTCTAAAAACCAATCAACAAAACAAACATAAGTAGGAGCAATTAACCAAACATTGAGCACTGGCAAGGTGTTTAAGTTTTTAATTACATTGCATTCAATTCAGTTTATTCCTAAAGGTTTTTACTTAAATTCTTTTTGTGATTGCAGCATTTTTCCATTATTTACTATATTTTTGGTTTGTTTCTGTGTGTCTGGGAGTTTGCATCATTCATGTGCTTGCTGCACATTTGTACCTGTTGGCTACCTTACTCTCATCAAAAGGATCAACACTTTGACTTGTTAAAGACATAGTAAACTCCGATGCATTCTCATTTAATACATCCCCCTAAGAATCTACCTATTCACATGGGAAACATGTTAAGGTTCTCCTGACGTTTCTGTCTCTGAGTTAGAGACAGCCACAGAACAGAGAACGAAACGCTATTGTTCTTGCATTTTCTGCCAAATATGCAATAATCCACACTCGCTGCACACATACAAAAGACAAGTGTCAGTGGTGCCTCTGTGCTGCATGATATGAAAGGAAGGAAGCCGACGTGCAGATAAGTACTGTAGTCAGGAAGCTCATGGAGCTCTGTTATCAAAAGGAAAGAGACCGCTGTTCTTAGCAGCAACAAAGTTTCAGTGAAGGAGAAAACTTAAACAAGTCTGACAACTGGGGGGGGAAAAAAACTATCTAGTGTCTAGTTTTGAAGCAGCTGTTTCATTGTGATATTTTCATGTCTTTAATAAAATGCATCTATTCTTTAACAGTAGTGAAGAGTCAAAGAAAAGTTCATTTCTTATTCCTGGAAGCATATTTCCTCTGGTCCTGCGTTTATTCTAAATGTAGCAAGAAGAGAAACAAGGAGGGGTGAAAAGTGAGACGGTCCACAGGCGTGGTTCATTATTCTTTCCTTACTCATTCCAGGGTCTTTCTGCCTACAACTGTCTTTTCTTTCCTTATCGAAGCTACAAAATAGGCCTCGTTCATGCTTAGAATATACACCAGCTGGTTTAAGTTTAAGGCAACAAGGAAGGCACTTGAATATGACGACGACCAGCACAGATGTCGAGGAGGACTTGAGGGAAAACGTGGAGGATCAGCCACCAAGCACACCACTGCTACGAGATGTGATGTGTGATTCCTGCCTGGACGCCCCGAGCACAGCGCTCAAATCCTGTCTGACTTGTCTGGTCTCCTACTGCGACGCCCACCTCAGACCCCATCTAGAGAAAGCCAAATTTCAGAACCATCGCTTAGTGGATCCCCTCCATGACATCGAGCGCCAGACTTGTGAGGCTCATCAGCTTCCCTTCAAGAGCTTTTGCTTTCTGGACAAGTGCGCTATCTGTGGGGACTGCGAGGGTCAGGAGCACGAAGGACACGAGATGTTGTCTTTGGAGGAGGCTCGAGTACACTTTGAGGTCCTTTAAAAACATGAAAAACGCACACTTGTCGCTATGTACTATTTCTTAATCTGCTCTTGTTTATAGAAACTTTTCAACATGTGTTGCTGTTGCTTTTTTAAAAATCATTTGTAGACTGAACTTCTGCAGAAACACCAGAGGATCAGTCAACATGTCTCAGATGTAGAGAGAATAATTGGAAAATTGCAGAGCAACAGTGATTTAATCAAGGTAATCTTATGATTATAAATTTTTCTATTCTCTTCATACTGAACTGATTGCATTATCATTTCTATTTTTTTTCTCCTGTCAGTCTTCAGCACAGGAAGTTTGTGTTACTGTTGAACAGCAGTTCAATAGGCTGCAGGAGACTGTTGAGGAGGACAGAAAAAGGGTAGAGGTGCTTTTGGAAGGAGAGCAAAAACAAGCACTGAGGCAAGCAGAGGGCATCCAGGCACATCTGGAGCAGAAGAGGGTGGAGCTGACGAAAACTGCAGATAAGATCAAGAAATTATCCAAGAGCAAGTCTGATGTTGATTTCCTGAAGGTACAGTGTCTCTCAGAGAAGTACACACCTCTGATTAATTTTTAGAGGTACAAAAAAAATAAAAGATCGAGTCCTGTCTGAAAATGAACCCTGGATTATGATGTTACTACCACCATTTTACATTGTGTGCGTGGCATTATTTTGTAATATCCAGGGTTATTTTTGTGACAACCCCTTTGAAATTGTGACCCAAAAATAAGTAAATTTCATCAGACCATAATCTGTCACAAGCTTTTGGAAGATTACAAAATATTTTTTGTGCCAATCTTTAAAACATTCATAGTCTTTTAATGTCTGTTTTACATGTTTGTCGTAGTTTGTTGATTTTTTTTTTGTGAAATCTTTGCACCCTGTACACTTCAACTCGAATTATCTGATTTCGATAATCAATGAGACTGGTTGATTCATTGACCTTAGTGTTTCTGAGATTCCACCCTGATCATTCATTTTGTGCAAACATTTTAATTTATGTTTTGTATGTTATGTTTAGTTTTTTTTTTAATACAGGTATATCATATGCAGCAAGGTAAACTAATGATGACACTGACCTTTAGTAGCTTTTTTTTACTCTCTGTTTCAGCTTCTCTGGTGCAGAAAACAAACGCTCTACTAATAGGGCAGAACAGAAGAAGGAATATTACAGAGTTTAGTGTAGGGTGTCAAAGGTTTGATGTGATGCGGAATTTGACCAAGAGCTTCTCTTAGAAAGAGTTTATTTTGAATACAGGCTTGTCGACAGTGTACATAAAGATTTCCTGTGACTCTACAGAAAACTATTGGAGTATCGGTTCGGAGAAAAGAAACTCTGTGGGTGTTTCATTTTTTTGTGCTTTTTTAACGTCATAATCCTGATCCATTACATGCATTTGCATGTTTTCACATTCTAGGATTACACAGAGGGGAACAAAGGGTTAACCGACATATGCGTACCCACTGCGCACATCGGTCGAATGGACCATCTGCAGTCATGGGCTCAAGCACTGACTGACGTCACTCAGGAGTTATGTGACCTGATTATGGAATCCTACAGTGAAAAAATGAACATGATCTCCAAAAGTGGTGAGTTAGTTTTAGCAGCGTGTCTTCAGGATCAGTAGAGAGGAAGCTATAGATCTCATCTCAGGATAAGCCTTAAATGTGACAGTGAAGCTCTGACCTATGCTTGTGTACCGCTAAAAATGACTTCATGTAATATTGATATTGCAGAAGTTCTTGTTATTGGTTCTTGTTATATTTAAAGTTGTAGTTAAATGTGGATAAAAACCTGTGATATTTTCCTTTTAAACCAAGCTGTTTGTCTTTTAGAGCATGTCAAAGTTACAGAAGTGTCAAAAATTTTGAAAAACGTCATCTTTACTATAATATAAGGCTGAAAATTTTGGATTTACATTTATTAATTTGGGGGGTGGGGGTGGAAGGAATTTTAAACAAAATCACTAGTGGCACCTTTGCTCTGAGTGTATTGTACAATAACCCTTTGTCAAGGGAGCAGCACTCTCCCTCTACCTATAACATTTCACAGGCTTGGAGCATAAATCTTAAGCTATTTGTCTTTCCACAATCTCCCTGGATCATCGAGAGTACTGGGTCCTCTTATGTTGCCTCTTTTCTTCAGTTCTCTCGGTTTTCTGCATTTTAACACATTTTTTAATGTAAAATCCACCTGAAATGTTTAATGCAGAAAGCCTGTATTTTAAGCTTTAATTTCGGACTTTTATTTCCTACCTTACTCTCCTCCATTTTTAAATGAGACAAGAAAATAGAGGGTTCTCATTCAGCCTATTGGCTGCAATTGGCATGGCATGGCATGGCGTGTTTAATCTCCAGGGAACCGGAACGTATCCGAAAAGTGTAATCAACCAAAAAAGTTAAGTGTAAGTCAGTTAAAAGCTTAACTGCATTGGTTTCAAATTAACTTGAAATGGTGCCAATAATTGTGCTAGCTGGGATTTAGTGAAAAAGTATAATTTTTAAATTGAATTAACAGCTGGATTTGGAGTGGCTGGAGTTCTATAAGGTTTTGCTACTGCAATAAAAGGTGAATTTGGTTCCGGTACATGTTGGAAAATTTAACAATCTATGATTAACCTTTCTGTCAAGTGATAAAGCACGTGCTAACCACGCGATGCCAGAATCTCCGCCATCGTCTCTTCCTGCTCCTGAGACCCAGGAAGACTTTTTGACATGTAAGCACTTTTAAATCCTTTGTACCTTCTCGTTTTCCATCACAGCTATAAAGTCAAACAGTTTCCCATAAAACAACATTTCCTGTTTCAGACACAACGAGGCTAACCTTTGACCCCAACACCACCCATGACTTCCTGCGTCTAACGTTGGACAACAGAAAGTTAACCAACACCAGCCCCTGGCGGCACAGCTACCCGGACTACCCCAGCCGCTTTGAATACTAGCGTCAGGCCATGACTTCAGAGAGCCTCTACCTGGGGAGACATTACATCGAAGCAGAGCTGAGCGGAGAGGGTGCACACGTCGGGGTTGCCTACAGGAGCATCGATCCTAAGGGAGAGGAAAGTGGCAGCTGCATCACCGGGAATGACTTTTCTTGGTGCGTTGGAAGAAACAATAGAGGTTTCTCTACCTGGCATGCTGGGGAGGAGACACCCCTGGAAGCCTCTGCTATTACCAGGGTTGGCATATATGTTGACTTTCATCGAGGCTCGCTGTCTTTCTATAACACAACAGAACCTTATATGCTGCTCCACACATACAAAACGACTTTATAGAGCCCTTATATATAACAGCCTGGTTGTCAAAGAAAGACAATGTTGTGAACCTGGTTAATGCAAAATGATGTAAGCACATTTTCTGCTGAGTTATAGCAGTTTATTGAGGTTTTATAATTCACATGCATGTCAACAAAGGTGAAATTTGCTACCATCTAGTGGTAGCTGTGCAACAGAATGTAAACAGAGGAGCCATCTCCATATGAGGGCGTTTCGAATCTTGTGCAGCTTTATTGCCGTCTTACTGCCACTGAATGCAACGTGATAGAGGGAGAACAGACCACAAAAACCCACACTGTCACTTATTCTCTTTATTTGCCCTGCAAGTTTATTTGGTCATTAAACTTCTCATTGTCCCACATCATTATGCAATCACATTGATAAGACTCTGCTGTTATAAATTTACAATCATCCTCTATATATATTTTTTTTTTCAAAATGCATGTTGACATTTAATCAGGAAACTGCGTGAAAATTTAACTTCAAATAGTAAAATCTGTTTCGTTCTCATCATAAGCTGGATTTATAAAGTGCACGCCTGTCTGAGTCATGGAGATGGAGTCGGTGCTATACAGATCAGAAATGTTATTCAGCATGTCAGGTTTATCAAATATCGGATTGTCAAAGCCGCGGTCGGCGGCCCCGTCGAGATCATCGACGTCAGTGTTTCTCCTGAAGCGGCTCAGAGATGGCATCGAAGGCATTGAGGGCATTGAGGGCATTGACGGCATCTGTACAATTCCCTTATGGAGTAGCACAACCACAATCACAATAAGTGTAACCACGAGTAAGACTCCAAACACTGCTCCAACTACTGTCCCTGTATTGTTGCTTCCAGGCTCCCTAGCGGGCTGAATTTCGGCTCCTGCTATGCCCAGATTCATGCCATGAGATATAATGTCCTTGATCATGTCCTGGGCCAGCGCTTCTGATAGTTTCCCAGTCTCTCCGTCCAGAATAACTACTTGGATCTCAGGTGAAGAGCCAAAAGGGATAATTCCCATCAACCGCTGTGGCTTTAAGATTTTAGACATGGCCATCTGAATGGACTCATATTTTGGCAGTGAAAGGAAAAGGTGACGGATTCGTCCCCTGTAATTTTCCAGGTTGAAGCTGTCAGAATAATGGATGACAATTATTGCACCGCACACCTCGCAGCAGTGTCCGATGGGAAGCAGAGGCTTCTCACAGCTCAGAGTGCCACAGGTCACCGTGCTGCAGATGCGTTCATGGTTGACAGAGTTCCCACAGTCACAGCCAGTAGCATCCCCACAACTTGGGTTTCCAACGGTGACCGATGACGACCCGTGAAACTGCAGCAGGCCTGATTGTGAGCTGAGATACTCGGAGAACTCGGACTTGCTGTCAAATACCTTTCCCAGCACAGATACGGATTTGACGGGGATGGTGGTCTGGCTGGAGCTGGTGTCCACACGGAAGGAGGAGAGGGCTTTGAACACGACGTCATCCTGCTGACAGGGTACGCTCTCCTCATGCACCGAGAAGAGGAAATGTCCATCCTGTAGGTCATTCAGAGTTGCAGCTGCCTGCCACAGAGCCGGATTAAACCATTGCAGCAAGTCAGCGTCTTTGAACTCGGTCCTCACTCCTGCTCCACAATCAGGGTCCTGTCCGCTGACCACATAGAAGCCAGCTCCCGAATTCAGAATGAGCTCTCCTTCCAATGGCAGCACCATCTCCTGCACAGCATGAGTGGTCTCCACAAACACAGACACTTTTCTTTGAGATGAAAACTGAACTGTGTCGCTGCCGCACGGAACTTTTCCTTTATCCCAGTTGGTCTTATTCTCGTAGTTGGTATCAGGAATCCACTGCTTGTAAAGGGCATTTGTTGCCCCAACAAGAGAGCAGATGAGGAGTACCTGTGCCACTTTCAGCATCTTGAATGTTTGTGCCAAAGAACGGAAAATGTTGTGACCTTTGATTCCAACCTTGTGACAAACATGAGAGCAGCACTGCTTACTGCTAAAGTTCATGAGCTCATCCTGTCCATGAGCAGGTGACTTGTAAATATTTACACCTTCTGCCTCGACACTCCTGCTTTATGAAGCAAAAGTGAGGAAGTTCAAACTATCCTCACTTTTGGATTTCTGTGGGGTTTTTTTTTTACTTTTTAGCAGGTTGATATAATATGGAACACTTTCAACAGGTTAGGATTTTATGTTTGGCGCATTGCATTTTCTTTTTGGTTGTGAAGAGGAAAATAGCAGTAGTCAGCCTTAGTTAAAGTATATTTCTTATTGGGGGAATTTAGTTTGAGCTGTTTAATCATAAGCAGCCGCTGGAAATCATTTGCGTTTGTGCAAAGAACATGACCTCTGGTGGGCATATGACCTATAAACTCAGTAAATTAATTACATTTCAGAAGAATATAGAAATGTAAAGATGCCTTAGAGCAGTGGTTCCCAAACTTTTTCTCCTGGACCCCCCAGTGGTTTCCAAACCACCCCCCATGGCTTACAGTGTGTGAGCGAAGGGGGTGGGGGATGGATTCTTAGAGACACCCTGTTATACTCAGCCCCGGCTCCAGACGAACAAGGTGGGGGGAATAAACTTTTTGGGGGGAAAATGAATCGTAGCTGAACATAGACACCAGTAGCATACAAGCTACTTGTTAACAAGCTTGAGGTGCTGTATTGATATTAGCTAGCTAGTCATCTTTTAGCTAACTTTACCTGCATCCATCAGCTTTACTCAACAGTCTGTTAGTTTGGGGGGAAAAACTCTGCAAAGTTATTTGCATTTTGCTGCCAGCAAACCAGCAAAACGTATAGTTCTGCTGTGCAGAACTACACCTGAGTAGTATGTATGTATGTATGTATGTATGTATGTATGTATACATACATATATATAGATATATGTATATGTTTTTCAGCCGACGAGTTCTAACTTCAGAGTGATTCAGCAGCTGAGATTGAGTCCAAAATCCGATGCGAGATTCATCCGTGCTGCAGTGAATCCGTCTCTCTTTATAGATTTCTCCCTCTTCTTCCTCACATCGTGTCTTTAGGAAACTTTCAAAACAAAAACGGAAGATTTAGGATGTATCTTACTTTTGACAGAGTGAAATAATATAAATAATAGTCTTTACCACCTGTGTAAACTTTGCCGGTGAATGTTATAACACATAATATAAGTTTTATAATATGTGTTATATTGTTTCATTTCTAATATAGGCCCTTGTGTCAGATAATCTAAGCCAATGTTAGAAAATAATTAATTTTTTAGATTTACGGAATCTCAGTTAGCCTTCATAGCGGGGCTGAACCCCGGTATTACACCAAGCACTGTAGCTAATATTAGCTGGTATCTCACCAGTGGACATAAATACAGTAAAGTAATATTCTAATCACAATATATACACAATAATATGTCCATCT